GACAGCCGCCCGACCATCAAAACTCAGGCGAGGACGAAAACTGGAGAAGCAACTCTCGCGTGGAGGCTGAATAAACTGTTGGATAAAATATACTGTTCTGATAGTGATGTTCTTAATTTACGTTCTCTGTCGTGTTTTAAAGCCGCTCTGTTATCAGCCTGTTTTTCTAAATTCTTGGTTATTGGATGCTATATGCTCGACAATAACTCTTGATGTTCAGCCAGGTTTAAAATCCCATGCTAGACTGTCAACCTAGCCGGAAATGGGCTACCTGCTCTGATTGCAATTAAATTAAATTAAATTAAATACGCTGAAAGCTCAGCGTATACTTTGTCTACGCTGACCAATCAGCGCACTCGCTATGGCACTCGTGGACCCCAGCCTACGAGCGATTCCATGCTTTGCGGCCTCAGCGCAGCTGTAGCTGCAGCATACGCAGCTGCAGCACGCCGCTCATTACGTTGATTTTTCATGAGCTCTGCAGGTATACTTCTTTCATATCACTACAGTGTCAGATATCTTCCAACATACGTTTATTCTTAGCATGTTGTATCATCTTGCATGCTCCGTATATGGTGCTAGCTACTTTATGTTCTGACGTTACACGTTAGTCATATTGATGTTCTAATATTATCTGCAAGCTAGCTATAAAGGCTGCTGCATCTGTGTATGAGAGACCAATCTAGACTCATTAAACTTCAAATCTCCACATAGATGTAGCAACAGTAAAGTATTTGATAGCAGTACGGGCGCTACCAACAGTCGGTAAAAAGCTAAAGAAATCACTACTCGACAGCTGCTACAGTTCACGGTGCTGCAGCAAAAATCAAACATAAAAATTACTAATAACTTGCACGGTACTGGGTAAAGAATGAGATCAGTAACCCCGTATAGGTAGCGTACGTAATTTACGTACGCAATTTAAAACACAACTTGCATCAGCTGCAGTGCATCTCTTGAGAGCTAATTTGGGTTTATCTGTAAACAGGCAGTAGCGTGAATGAGTCTTTAGGTTTATATTCAGCCATTAACAACAATGTCAATGCCTTACGGCAGCTTTGGCGCTTGCCAGTTGCACGGGATGAGTTTTTTTAGATGAGTTAAATTGCTAAAATGAGTTGGGCAGTCAGATCTTAAATTAGTCAAGATTCTGCAGCAATTGCACAGTCCGTCAAGGCTACTGTGGAAGTCTCTTCAGGTATGCCAGGTATGATTTTTCCATATTCGCAGCATCCACACAGTTCTTCAAGGTGGCTGCTGAGGTCACTGTAAAATGTAGATATGCCGGTTTTGATTTTCCCATATTCGCAGCATTCGTAGCGTTCGCCAAGGGTGCTTTGAAAGTCAACCAAAGTAAGCATATCTAAAGACATGCAAGGTCCAGTTTCCCATATTCGCAGCATTCGCAGCGTTCGCCAAAGGTACTTTAAAGGGCAGCTTAAGTAAGCCTAGCCAAAGACATACCGGTTCTGATTTTCCCATATTCGCAGGATTCGCAGCGTTCGCCAAGGGTGCTTTAAAGGTCAACGAAAGTAAGCTTAACCAAAGGCTTGCCGGTTTTGGTTTTCCGTATTCGCATGTACTCGAGACTTTATGTACTCGTAGATACGAGTATAATCAGAATCTAATGCTATATACTTTTATTAGCACAAGCCAGTTAGAATACATGGAATGGCAACAAAAACAGAATTACAACAGCAAAATTTCTTCTAATTTATCCGCTCCTTCCATCGTCCCCAGCACGGAGGCCGCGTTGCCTCGTTGTATTTCAATCGACAGACGCTGACGTAAGAATTCGTGTGAGCGAGGTTCCCCGGTGTGTTGCTGTAGCCGCTTGCCAATTTCCTTTATTAAGGCCATTGCCGATTTTCCCCACGGCCCGAGCGTTTCAAAGGCTAGTGCAGCAAAAATGTATCTGCCTTCAAGATACGCATAGAGTTTGGTTTTCCTATCTTCGGCTTGGGCAGCGGCAGATCCGGCAGCTGAAGAAGTGGACTTGATATGGGATGGGGCGACAGTGTCGACGCAGGTGACGTCCCATGCCAGGCACATACCACGCTTCCAGGCAAAGGTGGTACAGCCGTCCGGGAGACGATCGGACGTATGGGACGTGCCACGTGGTTCGAGTTTTGCTGGAATGCCCGCCGAAACCAATGATCGGCACACAATGCTGTTCAGACCACCGTGGCGTGCATGTCTCCCGGCCGAAAACGAGCATGACAGTCCATGGTGGCCGTACACATCGACAGGCTTGCGGCATTTGGCACACGCGTGTGCTTCACAAATGACTGCGCCCAGCCTGAGTCCAACTGATATCTTGAGGGTGTCGTCATCTAGGAGATTGCCGATATGCGCTGACGGCAACGCATTTAGCCAGATACCTGCTTCCGGTTTCGACTGAGCAAGCAGGCGGGCTCTGTTGGTTTCATCGTCCCGGAAGATTTCCAGCAGTGTCGACAGCGAAATGTTGCAGAGCGGTACATCCCATGCGCGCTGTGACTTCAGGAAGTTTGATTCCGGGAGTTCTGTCTGACCGCTTTTCGCTTTCCACAATTCCTCTGCATTTGTGGCGTCCACGGTCGCGTGATCGGGAAGCAGTAGCGACACGAGTCCGGAAGCGGAATGAATCGAAGCCAAATAGGCTGGGAGAGCTAATTCTTCCGTCCGACGAATGCCGATACCACCTCTGCTCACGGGAAGAGTCGCCTGCCGCCAACAAGGATAATCGTTTGTGTTGGTGCGAACATTGCACAATGTCTGAAAACACTCCCGCATCACTTCGTCCACCTGATAGAGTTGTTGTGGTTGCTTCCACGCTGTACAACACCGTAACATATAAACAACTTTCGGGGCGCCAAGACAGTTTTTCAAAAGGAAAAGCGCCTGATGGCATGGCAGAAGCTGTAGTCGTTCGCAAGCCGCTTTTAACGTTATCGCTTTTTCTGTGATTGCTGGGCCGATGGCGTCTTCCGATACGGGGGCACCCAGCAGAGAAAAAGTCTCACTTGATAGTATTCGCAATCTGGGATAACGATCCACGAAAAACGCTAAAACGTCGTTCTGCTCTTCTTGTGTTCCGCCGCACACAAAAATTTCACATTTTGCTTCATTCACATGCAGACCGATGGCGCGCGCACGTTCTATGATTTGATCGAAAGCCTGTGCGACTGTCGCCGGCTTACCGCCCATGGTTCCGTCATCCAAAAACCATGCGTTTAGCCCTGCCTTGAGCTCTGCTATAACTGGATGCAGTGCGAGGCAAAACAGCAAGGGACCGAGTGGATCTCCTTGCTGGACTCCTGATTTCGAGGACAGAAGAAAATCCTCCAGAAAAAGCGACGAGTGGTTACCATAAGCTGACTGGAGGAATTTGCTGTACTCAGGAAGGTGTTGCATCCCAGCGTTCAGTATAGCTTCTCTAGATAAGGTATTGAAGGCGTTTCTGAAGTCAACCTTCAATATTACCGTCGGCTCGTTAGATGCTGACTCCATGAAAATTCTGGCGGCATGGACTATAGCTTCCGCTCCGCCACGGACGTTAAAGCCCAGTTGCTGAGGCGATAGAACGGCTGTAACACGGTCAGCCACCCTAGTGCAGACAATTTTCGCTGTTAGTCTGCGCAGCGTCAGTCCCTGTAATACTTCAGTCTTAACTCCTGTAATACTTCAGGGGAGGCAGGAGCAATGGCATCCGTGGACAGGATGAGACGCATGGCTCCAGAGATGCAGCCGTCATCAATCTTCTGCCCAACTCGGCGAGCTAGGTCTTCACCGTCAGACCGTTTCTTCGGTGCACCAGGGGCTGGGGTGGGGGGGAGTTCGGCGTCCTGGTCGTATAACTCCAGGTTTCGCTTTACCACAGCCACCAGCGACTCGCTTCGCTCAGACTTTGCCTTCGGTGGGACTCGCAGCGTGGATGGGGCGAAGGAGAGGAGCTTTCGCCAGGAAGATTTGTCGTTCTTAGTGGCGACCCGCTGGAGAACCTTTTGGAGCGACGTTCTAGCGGCAGGCCGTGCACCGTGTGGTATACGCCGCATAACACGTTCTCTCGACGGCTTGAAAGGCTTGTCCGTCGGGGGTGGTGTCGGTGCGGCTCCTGCGGCGTTACTGGAGGGTGCAGTAAGAACGGGAGGGCCAGAAGGACGGGACTTGCAGGCCTTCATGTGGTTCTTGATTCCGGCTCCTTTCGAAAAGAAAACTTGACAGTGGGGGCATGGCTGATCGCGTGGTAGCACCATTATTAAATTCCAAATGGGGAGCGACTAACCTGATGAGTTACGAAGGATGCGGGATGCCAAGAGGATCAGGCCCGCCGGACCCGTAAGGTGGTGTGATCCCGTTACGAGGCGATCAACACCACGGTTAGATCCTCCCAACCACCCTTGCAACCAAGAGGGAACAGTCCCCGATTTGGTGCGCAGGGAAATTTCGCGCTTTCAAAAGCCATCCGTTCGTCCAGTAATAAAAATAATAACGTCCAGTAATTTTTTCCTTCGTTCATATACATGGTAAATTAGAACGGTAACGTTATAGTATAGTAGTGACTTTGCCCTGGCAATGTATACGTCCTTTATTCTGAAAACCTTTATCGTAAACTAATTATCTAATGCTTAATTTATTTAAACAATTGCCCTGTACCATGATAGCCATTAACTGCTTAATTAATTACGGTAAACATTTTACTGCGGAAACAATGGTTTTCTGCGGGATGTACCACTTAACATGCGGTTTATAATTTCTCGATTTTCTTTACTGAACGCGTCTGCAAGTTAAGGTGCGCGTAAATCAGCTATTGTCTGTTTAGGACGTACTACTGCAGTAGTGTTCGGAATTACTTTCTTAACTATTGCGGGTCTATTAATTTTATTGCTATTATTATCATTATCAGAATGCTCAGTACTGTACTTACTGTCGGTATCTGACTACTGATTGTCATTAACAGCATTATTGCTATCAGACGTAGCTACAGCACTATTGCGCTGCTTGCCAGCAGATTGTTGACCACTATTGCTCACGTCGTTATTACCTGCTAATTTGTTAATATCAGCTGGCAAAGATTCTGCTTTTTGAGTACCGTGGTAGGTGCTGACTGTTTATTGCGTTTAATTTTAACTTTCAATGACTTGTTTTCTGCTGATGTACGAAGTACATCCGTAGTGCTATAATTGCTTTTATCTGTGTCAGTATTGCTGTAATTAAACATTTCCGATGGCTTGAAAACAGTCTTTTCGCCAGATTGTTTGTCACGATAAGGTTTCATGCGCTGGTATGCTACTTCCTGGATATTGCTTAAATCAGATAGTAACTTTACTATCGCTGTATTTGGACGTGGTATGTCATGCATAACAAACGGTGTATCATAACGGCTACGTAATGATTTATTTTCATCTTTAGACTGCTCTGCTTTTCGTAACAGTATGTAATCGCCGACGTGAAAATCGCCATCGACTTTCTTACGATTGTACTGCTCTGCTAATGCTTCGTAACCTTGCTTTATATAAATACGGGCAGTTTCATGCGCCCGATTAATTTCCACTTTAAACGATATAAATAATCTTTCACAGAGTCATAATCTTCAGGAAGATTAGTCTTAGTAATGTATCAATGGGCAACGTTTGCTACCTACCATAAAGCATGTAAAACGGCGAATGCTTCGTAGTTTTATGTACTGTCCGATTATTGCCGCAACAACGAAAGGAAGAAAATCATCCCAGCGACCCTGGGTGCCTTTCTGGGCATACATGGATAAGCTACCTGCAATCCACTGCATCTGTCTCTCTACTAAACCTCGACCAATGCCTTGATATGCGGTACCGAAATGATGCTTTATTTTCGTTAATTTTGCTACTGCTTCGATGATTTCATTCATAAAATGCGAACCTCTGTCAGAGTTAAGAACTTGCGGTGCACCGTACGGTAAAATAACGTCGTAAAAGAGAAACTGTGCTACTGTTATCGCTTTCTCATCGGGTACTGCTTTTGCTATTACAAATTTAGTAACCTCATCTATTGCTACAATATTGCATTTATTTTTGCTCTTCGACTGTTTTAACGGTCCTTTAATATCGATTTCCATGCGATAAAACGGCTCTCCAACAGTAACATGCAAAAGTTTACCTGGTTGCGGCTTACGTTGCGATTTTCGCAACTGGCAATCCAGACAACTGCTTACATATTTATCGATGTCACCGACCATATTGTCTCAGTAAAAGCGAGCGTTTATCTGATTGTACGTCCTTTGTATGCCTAGATGGCCAGATGCCGGCAAGACATGATTATTGCGGATGTAATCATTTACCATGTGTTTCGGTACAACGAACTTTCGTACGTATTTATCATTTGCTACTGCAATGCGATACAGAACTCCATTCCACAACTGATAATGGTGCGCTTTTGCAACTATTGCTCCTGATTTCTGTTTTCTTTTATTGGATTAATTTCTTTTACAATATGTAATTTTATCAGTGCTTTGTCAATGGCAGCCTGGAATGTGGCTGGTCCATTCCATACACCGAACGGCATGCGGGTGAATTCCCACAAGCCGTTCTGCGTTACAAATGCTGCTTTTTCAATGCTGTCTTCGGCCACTGGTATCTGCCAAAATCCCGACTGGCACTCAAATATAAAATATATGCTGTATCCTGCTACATTGCTTAGTACCTCATCCGGATTAGGAAGAGGATAATTGTTCCTTTTAGTGACATTATTCAGTTTAATATAATTCACGCAGAAGCGCGTACCAATGCTGCCGTCTGCGTTACGCTTACTCGCAAGCACAACAGAAAAACTCCAGTCACTACTGCTTGGTCGGATAATTCCCATTAACAGCATATCATTAACATGTTGCTGTATAAGTTGACGACCTCGCCAACTCGTACGATGAGGCTGGCTTTTTATCGAACGGGCATCGCCCGTATCGATGTAATGCTTTACCGACGTACCCACGGTATTAAACATGCGGCTTTTGGTAGGAAAAACGTTTCGGTATTGTAAAAATAATTCCTTCCATTCTTTGCGTTCATCGGGCATCAAGCCCTCATAGAAATTCATTTGCGATATTGCCTCTTTAATTTCTTGTACCTTTTTAGGCGTACGCTCTTTAATGCTAGTTGCCAATACCAACGGACCATCGACCTCTTGTCTCGTCGTCTCCATAATGCCGATTAAAGGGCCTTTTTTAATGATGCGCTTCTGATTACTGAAATTAGCGATCTGTACATCGAATGCTCTATTCTCCGGTTTTACTAGTCCTTCCATCGGTACTAGTCTTGCTTTAGAATATAATGCTGGATTAGCTGAGAACATGAATAATTCAGTTTTAAACTCTTGCCCGTTTTTCGGCTTAGCAAAAACAGATGTCCAGGTTGCTTCTTTAGCGGGTAATGAACGAATCTGACGCATAGACGTTTACTGCTCTAATGCGAAGTTTTCCTTTTATTTCTAGTTCCTCTATTGCTGTAATATTATTAATAAATGCTTCAGTATCTGCACCATTGTTATCCACTGCTACCATAACATTATCATTAGTACTCGCACATATCTCTGGTTTGTTTACTACTGCTGACATTATTGTGATTAATTGCTTAGTTATTAAGCAGGTTGCGGTATCAACGAAGGGGTACGATTGACGATAGAATTAACGACGGGATACACGGCAGCACTCGTCGTTGTTAACGAAACGAAGGGGGTATCGTTTCGTTAATAACGAAGAGTAGAACCAGTAATAAACGACTGGCCTCACATAGACCACTGAGCACGAACGCTGCGTAGACAGGACAGTCTGCCCAGTGACTTTCTGCCTGGGCATTCAGTCCTGAGTTGCCCACTCGACTCGAATTTTCAGAAATTGCAACCTTCGACCGTTGCACTGCTGCTGCTGCTGATTTCTTTGCCAGCTCAAATCAAAATGATTTTCTCAAATGATGCGTTAAATTTATTGACAAATTATAATACATTTCTAAATTATTATTATTAGAGCTTACCCAATGGCTAGTGCAATGTAAGAAATCCAGCGTCTTACAGCAACAGTAAACGGCGCGCACGTATTCCAGAATGGAAGGAATGCTGTGCTGTTTCATTACGTGAAAATTTTAATTCCATTTCTGCTTGTTATTCTATCCCGCCAAAAAAGCTTTTGATTTTCTACGCTGCAATACAAAATTTTTTATATTTGTAAGCACTAAAGAAATTTGGAAAAGAATGTTTGGAAAAAAAATTTGTACCGTTAATTTGTAGGAGTTAATTGTTCAGTCCAAAACGCAACCTCTTTTTCGCTTTTACGAAGGCTTGAATTAACATCGTTAAAATCGTCGTTAATTTTGCCGTTAATCGAAGCGCCGTGCTAAACGCAACCTACTTATTATCTGTACTCGTACACTGCTCTTTATTTGCATCGATTAGCTTTATAAACAATAGTTACGTTAACTTCTTTCTTTGCCCGATTTTTCTTTGTAATCGGTCATTTGTACGGCTGCAAAATTAAGCTTATCCAGCGGCAGTGCGCCCTTTTTACGCTTTGCTTTAAAAATAATTCTGCATGATTTTACAGCAGATGCTGGGCTACTGCGGTCATAGACTTGCTTTATGATTAACTTGCTTTTTGATTATCATTTTAGGGCGCACTGATCTTACTTGCGGGGGTGCTAAAAAATTTGGCTCGGCATAAAATGCTTTAAATAACTTCTTTCTGAACACCAAACCTAGTTGTCGCCAAAATTGCTTTAGAGAAATTTCAAGTAATTCAGGCACTCCAATATGAAATGCTTTTAACGATGATTTTAGTTCTCGGCGCCGTTGTGCCGTATGTTAATGCAGATCGGTAAACAGTTCATCGTGCTCCCTGCTGAGACGATTAAACTCTTTAACTTCATATTGAAAGTAGCCATGCTCTGCTACCATGATAGCCATACCACGGGGCAGGCTAGGAAGAAGAACGATTTTCTATGAAAATCTACGGGAGAAACACCGCTCAACTTCCGTAACGCTTTTATTAGTGAAAATCGATAATACCACAGTCTACTATAATAGTCCACCTACTCCTGTCTGCCGCTGTATCTGAAACTTGTACATGTTAAGGGACAAAAATCTCATTAAAAGTGACCGCGCTAAATGGGGTTGAGGCTGCGTGAAAATCCAGCCGTTCCTTTTGCACAGGCGAACACCTTCTCTTGCGTCTGACAACAGACAGGCTGGTCTGATTTGTGTCTTCTAGTGCAATAACTTGCAGTAGGGAGATACAGCAAGGGGACACACATGCGCTTACCGCATAGGTGTGCAGGACGCATCGTTGTTCCATGCGAATGTGACTGATATCCCGCAAAGTAAACACAACCCCATTTACGCGCACCAGCTTGTTTACATAAGGAATCAAGTTGTTCAGTTTCCTTCGAAGAGTAATCTCATTGTAAGCCTATATATCCTTTCACTATGATAATACTATAAAAATAACAATTCAAATGATATTACTACATCGATTTCGCCCTTAAATTGCTTAAGCTCGCTCACTGCCCTACACAAGGGGCTTCACTGTATTGTATACAGTGAAGATACAGGCCAGGCTAAACATCATAAAAGGTTCGGTGCGCGTGCAAATGGAAGGAGTTTGTTAACATAGAAGTCTACGAGACAAAACTCCTTTCTGCCCCTTAAACGAACCTGTGCTACTTCGGTTGCATTGAAACCTATCCCATTGTGTAGAGAACGTTTGTGCCGACAGACTGGTGTCTCTCTCTTCAAAAAAGTGTTACTAGGAAGGTTTGCAGAGCCGTTTAAAGAAATCAACCACATGACCAGCGGAAATGGGCTAGTGGTTTAAAATAGGCACGTGGTCTCTGTGCTTTAACCAGGCGGCAACCATGAATGGGTTGACCAGCTCAGTCAATGGGCGCTCTGAACAAGTGGCAACTATTAGTGCCCTGACCAGCCCAGTCGATGGATGTTCACCTCGCCTCAGTCAACTCGCAACAGCAATCTGTTTTTCTTTGTAACATGAAGCCGCTTTTTATACCATTCAAAAGAGAATTGAATTTACAACAAAACTGTCGGCTCAGAATGTTGATGATTGCCTCAACTTTTCAAACTGCAAGCCAAAAAAGATGAAGTATCGAGATGCCTATGGCGCTTTAACATAGACGTTCTCTCTGTTCTCTTTCAACGCAGACTCCTTCCAAAATCAGACCTGGCCGATGGGGCCCCGCCTGTAGTCTGTATTGTATGAAATACAGTACAGCCCCTAGAGATCCGCGTTGGCTCGCTTTACGGGCCAGCAGCTTGCTCACCAGCAACAGCCGCTCTCTCTGTTCTATGTCTCCGCTCACTCATTCAGCTGCGCAAAGCTAAAGCCGCAGAACCGGCTTTGCGGCTGTAGCCATATTCTGATGTCCATTTTACGTGAGTGAGCAACCAGCTGACCTGTACAGTGAGCTTAAGCAATTTACGGGCGAAATCGATGTAGCAATATTGTAATATGTGTGTTTCAGCCTTTATTGTCCTGTGGTTGGTACAATTCAAGATCGTCAATACATGTAGTTCACAATTTCACAAAAACAATCAAACAAAGTGCTATGTAACTGACCACAAGGCAACATTTTGGCGCCGCAAAAAGGGCAAGCCGACCTACACATCACAAGATCTATACTACGCGCGGCGCTCCATAGTTTTGAGATCTCTATAACCATAAAACTTCTGGGAAAACGGACAACGCCATTAGATCCGGGAGAGTTCAGAAGTGGCCGGCATGTGTTTTTTTTATGAAGATATCGAGCCGGCATCGAGCCGGCATCAAGACCAGATTGATCCAGCCAATCTTAAAGGTCACCTTGAAACTTAAAAATATTTGCCTAGATACAATACACTAATTAAACCCAAAAATAAATAAATTATTGTACTTATTCAAACCCTCGCGTTATTCAAACATTGCTGCCGGTGTTGACGAGCTCGAAACACGTTTAAAATCAACCGATATAAAATGTAAAAATATTAAATATAAAATCAATACGAAAAATCACTGGACGAGTGAGTGACCGAAACACTATCACCGACCACTGAGCGGAATCTCTAGATGAGTGGGTGACCGAGCTACCACCACTGACCAATAAGAAAAATCACTAGACAAGTGAGTGTCCGAAACACCATTACTGCCCACTGAGCGGAATTTCTAGGTGATTGAGTCGTCGAGCGGGCTTTGCTCTTGCTCACCTAACGGGCTGTGCACTGGACAATAGTTGTAGCAGGGTCACATCCTCACCTAGCGATTTTTCTCGTTCCTAGCGATATTTCTTACTGGACAGGTTGAGCTGGGTCAGTCACTCACCTAGTGATTGAGTGCGTCAAAAAATCGCTAGGTGAGTGCGTGACCGAGCTATCACCACTGTCCAGTGCCCAGAACCCTTTAGGTGAAAGAGTACCGAGATACCACTACTGTCCAGTGCACAAACTCCGTTAAGTGATCTAGTGACCGAGCTACCAATACTGTCCAGTGCACAGAGCCCGTTAGGTGAACGTATGACCAAACTGCAATATTACTGAGCAAAATAGAGCAGGACCTGCTAAATTCTTAATGGGTGACCTATCTAGCACCACTGTCCAGTCTTAGCGTCCTTTTAGTTTGTAATGTGATACTCTCGTGGGTGATTAGATTCGGATGGTTTTTCGCTAAGAAAATTTAACGAAAAATGATCTGTAAAGTCAAAGTAATTGCGTTCGACTGCACGAAACCAAAACATCCATTTTTTAATAAAATTTTTGTTATCGGGCTCTTCAGATTTATCCGTTCTAAGTTAACAATCCGTAAACCGGCCAAGGAGTTTAGAACCCAAGAAACGCGGAGGCGAAGCCGAAGCTGTTTCTTGTACAGTAATATTATTGAACGTCACATCCCTTGTCAAATTTCCTGTTGTTTTTTTATTCACTTGATACATCTTCTTGCTAGATATTTAGGCCTGGACTTTGGTTATTATTATTATTATTATAACGGCACAAGAGCAGACAACCCCAAGGGGACTTCAAGTCTGGTCGAACAAAACATTTTAAATGCAATGTAAAGAGTTAAGAGAGATCCACAGACTTGAGTACGAACTTAAAGGCAGGTACAGAACTGGCATCAAGAATTTCAGGGTTAACAGCAATAATTTTATCAAGCAGGCGCTTTAAACGCATTTCCATAGTCCACCCTCCGATTACTTTCTTGGCCCGGGTAACTTCGATCCGTGCCGGCTTCCGCAAATTATAGCGCATGGTATTATCTTTTACTTTGACTATATCCAGGAGGTAGGCCGGAAGCGGGAACTGATTTTTGTTCCAGATCTTGAACAGCCACACCGCATCGCTCTGACGCCATCGGTCGAATATGTGAAGAATACCCAACTTCTGATACAGTTCCGGAGTAACCGGCATCTTGTAGTCAGTAATGGTTTTCAGAGCTTTACGTTGCAGTCCGGCTAGCTTGTCGCGCTCAGTCGAAGACGCTGCAGACCATACCGGCGACTGGTGTGCGATATGGCAACCGAAGCAGGCGTGATAAAGACCTTTGCGCTGTGACATGCTGAGCCCTTGTTGTGCTCGCTTAATCATGGCAATGCCGAAATTCCCTTTCCGTTGTACCTTTCGGAACTGCTCGCTCCACTTCAAGTGGTTATCAATCTCAACGCCGAGATATCGAACGCAACTGGCAATGCCGACAACCGACCTAGACTGGTTGCAGGAAGAATCTATTTCTTCCGCTTCGCGCTGGTGCATACGATCAACTTGTCGGTTTAATACTTTCCGGCAATGATGAACAGATGAAGCCTTGTCCTATTCCAAAACTATTTTACTAGACTGCTGTCGCGAGTCCTCCAAAAAGAATCCGACATACGTGTACCTGGCCGTTATTCAGCGTTTGGAGGCCGCTTCGCTGTCCTCACTCGAATTCCTTCTTTCTTGCTCTGCTTCTGTCCGAACTTGCTTCTTTTGCGGCCAACTAGTGCATCTCTGGAAGCCGCGGTTTCCTAACGGAAAGCCTCGTCCGCATTGTTTAACTTGTTACTTGACCCCGCATCCGGCCGGTAAGCCGATAAACTCTTGAATACACTCCTGCGTGTTTCTGGCACGCGATATCGATCCGGATGTACGAACGAGTGCCATCTCGGCGTTGGCAAACGTGTGCCGAACGCTGCGCTTTGAAATAAGTGCAGTAAGGATGGAGGTGTTGAACTGCTTAATCCATACCATGGAGGCCGACCCAGAAGTGTTTTACCGACGAGCCGCGGTGTACTGTTTGTGCGAAATGGTCGATGGGATGGGACAGGATTTCCTGGGTGTATTTGGTGATTGTGCTAAGCTGGTTTGGACTGCCTTAAAGAAGGCGAGGTTGGCGGTAGATTACACTGTGAGGATGCATGCGGAGAAAGGAATTGATTTACTGAATGAGCTGCCATGGGCGACGGATGACGATTCCGGGCAGCTTATGCGGGTACTTTGGCCGAAATCTACTTTGGCCGAAGTGAACGACGGCCGAATTGAATGGCGGCCGAAGTGAGTCGCGGCCGAAATGAAAATGGCCGAAGTGATCGGTAGCCGACTTTTTCAGCCGTTTCTCCGTAGACTCGTATGCTAACTCAGCGGAGCTCCGCTTTGCTGATAAGATCAGCTTCAAGGCTTTGTATATTCCACTGGCTTTGGTCTGTGGGAACGCAATCCTGCTCCCTATTTAGGTATCTATTTAGTAAAGCGCGCCGCGTTCACGCATACTGCTGCTAAAAAATCGGCCGTTTTGGACGGCGCTTCCATAGAAAATGGATAAATAGAAGTCAGCGTGAATTCGGCCTAACTGTGTTATATACCGTTAGTAACATTTCTAGTAGCAACACCCTGTCACTGATGAGGAGAAGCTTTCAATAAGAGCACTAAACTACCGACATCTAATCGCCGCTGTGGTAGTAATCGTTCATGACGGGAGCACTGAGCAACACATGGTCAGTGTCGCTCCCACTGTTGGCCTCCTGTTACGCCAAGATTCTCCCGCGCATGCTTTTGGAGGACGAAATCACGAGTGTGGTATTTGACGAGAAAATTCATGGGAATGATATTTTTAGAACGCATAGTCCAACCGCTAGGTTTCTGTCCGAAAATTGTCAATGTATTCGATAGCCGATGGGTGAGATAGTCGATACCATAACTTGACACGGAAAATACGTTAATCGATACGGAAAACTAAAAATCTTATGAACTTCATGTTAGATTTATTGATTTTAAAGCCATCGTTTGTTGTGCTACAGTACACTTAACAGTAATTTAATACTTTTAAATGGTATGGGCATCAAACAAGCACTACGAAACCTTTCACAACTTTTCATGCCGTGCACTAAGTACTTACCTTTTGCGCGCACTGCCTTGTGTACCATCTACTCCATTCAATACAGCACCTTTCTGTTTTTTCTTTTTTGACGAACTACCTTAGGCAGAAGTGTGACAAAACTTTGCCATTCATTTCCCGCACCATAATTTTGCAGAGTTAACAAATATTGTAAATACTTCACCTTTATGTTGTGTGCCGACCTGTATTCTTGGATTCTGTCCATGAACTAATTACTGATTGTGGTGACCACATACAAGGCATTTTATGAGAACATTATTAAATACGGTACTGCAGAACGAGTTCTGCGCCACTGTACTACAAAATTATTCGTACGACTATTTTAAATAGACTAGCAGACCCCGCGCAAATTGCGCGGAATGAATATACTATATAATATATAGTAATGCGATAGTATACCAAAAGGCAAAATCCCATTATATTGCGTTGCTGTCAATTTCGGACACCCTGTGATGTCCGTAATGTTCTCCTGCTTGATTTAATGTTACTATTTTTCTGCCAACGCGTTTACTGTTTACTTACTGTTACTTCCGGTTTTAAAAAGTTACTTACTTAATAACTACGTACTAAGTTATAATTTTGCCTCCGGAACCAGCTCTCCGGAGTTCCGGCATAAATTTGGCGAATTTTGTTTTAAATCATAGTAAAATTTGCAATAACAGAACTTTACCTACTGGATACTATCAGCACAAAAACCTTATTACTTATTATTACAAACTACAGACCGAAACTGTTACTTTTACTAACTTTTTAATATTAGTCGATTGGTGTCTACTCAGTAGGATACTCACTTGTCAGTAGACATTCCTACTCTGTTCAGTAAAGCAACACTGATTGAAAATCAGATTTTTCATTAATGTACCGGAAAATCTGCCTTTCACATTGACTGCAGCGATGACCTTAAACTTGCAACGCGAAATGTTGCTCCAGATCGGTCACCAGTCAGTTAAGCTTCGTGGAGTGGCTGCACAGGTGCTCTCTATTTGATGCTTACGGTATATAGGCACCTGCATTGATATAAACTATTCATTTTATTGAAATTTTCTAAACCCAGAAACCGTTTCGCAAAATGTCATTTGCATGTTTGCTGCTTCGCGAGCTCCGCTCGCGCCGCAGCTCGGCGTCGCCTGCGGCTCCGCCTTCCATGGCAAACTGATGGAATCATTGCAAGTTTCGCAAAAGCCTCTCGTTCTCAATAACGAAGCGTTCCACCTTCGTTAACTCCAAGTTAACGCCTAAGAACCGCTAAGCAATCGCTCAAACGAAAAAATTTTGCTATATATACGTAAGTAGCATCTGATGTTCATAAATTTCGTAATACACATTTACTGTAAGTGCGGAGGTAACAAACAACCCAGATCATGTAAGATGTGCAGCTGACAGCATGCTGTCCTTTAATCAACCCTACTGATTACACATGCAATGCCGCCTTTCTCGGACATCGATTTTCACAGAATATAGGTAAATCAAAAGTAAATTTTTTGGATTTAAAAATTATAACTGAGAAAGTAAATTAAAAAACATTCAACCGTAAATGCAAAACTCCGCCCACTCCGCAAGCATCCAAAAAGGTCGCCCTTGCACGCAACAAACGCCCGTGTATACCGTGCAAGCAGCCAAAATGATTATTTAATGCACACAGTTGAAACGGAGCAGCAAAAAAACGGCGAATCTATCCATGATAATTCCAAGGACGTTACATCAGGTGTCAAAGCAGTGTCCGTCCCTAACAGATCGAAGAGAGGCAGCGAAGTTGAGCGAACTGCTACAACCCCTGGATAGCTGTGCTGTCCTTCTCTCGGTGTATATCTCCGGGTGACTCGATTTCTGGCAATATTATAATAGTCATGTTCACTAATTCAAATCAGCATGGACGCAATTCACACTCGAAACAGTTCGTTTATCCCGAATATAGCCATTTTGCTCCATGATGATATATCATCAACCCTCAAATCGACATTGTCCCATACTTTTGGCCTTCCGGCCGAAGTAAAACCGCTGAATCTGCATAAAACGGCATACATTACCTAACTTAGTAAATCGGCTTTCAAATCATGAGTTAAGTATACACTAAAGGACGCATTTTAAAAAAAGGCAATAGCCATCAAAATAACAAAAAACTGCAAGGCCGGGCACACTGCTTCTCAGTTAAAAGTTAAACATTATAAAGGCAACCAAAATCTCTAGGATCACAACAAGTTTTTATAGTAAAGGATCACAATCAATAAACTGGTTACCAGTGACTACCACGAGTTTGGTATCCAAATTAAAAGATACCCAAAACCCGCTCATTTCGGCTTAGTCCGATGACGGGCACCACAGTACCACAACAGTGAATTCGCGGTACGGTACGACGGAGTAGGAGTAGGAGCAAGATATCGTACATGAACGCGAACGTACGTATGAGCACGTCTGATTGCTCAAGCCACACAGGCAACACCTATAATTATTTATTATTTTGTTGTTAACGATTACAAAGAAGCTGTGATGAAACAGAGAACAGGCGCGCGGCAGGTGGGAGAACAAAATCAACGACGTGCTGACCTGAGAAAGAACTAAAGGTAAACTAACATAAATAAGAAGCTGATTAAAATTTTACCTTGTGAAGTACTTAAGCCTGCAGCTGCGGAAATTGGATGGGCTCACGCTCAGAGCACCAGGAAAAGTCAAATTCGTTTTTGTTGGCCTATCGTAAGTTTGACTTTGATTTACTGAGAGAGCTGCAAGACCCAAACAATTGCAAGAGCCATAGCCACAGAAACAAATAAAAAAAATTAAAGATTCACCCAATTTGCACGATACAGAAGAGCTGCTGAAACCAGTTGTGCATTAGCAGATTTAAACTTTCTTGATTTCTAAAGCGGAATAAAAAAGAAAACGGGCACCGCAATATTCGCTGAAGACAACTACTCGTAGTCGGACTAGTCGCGAGACATATGGTCTCAGGCATTTCACCGCCGGGTCATTTAGTCGCGGGAAATTTAGTTGAAGGACATCACGCCGCCATGCATTCTGCCTAATGACTGTTCCGACGCCAGGACATTTCGTCGCAGGACAATAAGCCTGAATAAGGGCAATAAGTAGTGCCGCTTTCAGTTACTCGGTTGTACAACGTCACACGATTGTACACCCTTAAGTACAGTACTTAGAAATCACAACACTTCGTCTCCCTACGTTGTAGTTACGTAGTGCAAAACAGAACACTCGAAGGACTACACATCTGATTTTTGACAGAGCATACATACAGTAAAACGTGTACATTTGTGCACACTTTGCACTTACAGCAGGAGGTATACTTACAGTATGAGGTAATTGCGAATGCTCTGCCAGTCCTCAGGATAAGTCATGGTGCTCAGCCAACGCGCATGGATAGTCGTGACCCTTGCTACCATGTCATTCGTAACCGGCGGAAAGTTGTCGTTCAAAGCACACATAAAGCGACTGGCCATGTGCATTTCGTCTTCACTGCAGGGCAACAAGAGCTTTGGAATGGTGATTTGCAGTTTGTCAATGGTCAATTCGTGTGACTGGAGTGTGAGAATTGTCATCCACTCCCGCTCACACGGTGGCAGGAGACGAGATGCGACGCCGGTAAACCACCCGTAGGTGGGCTGTACAAAGACATCGTACATGTGTTGACCGAAAAGGTCGGTAACTTTGAAGTTTTGCAGTACAACGAACTTGCAACAGCGCTGATACAATATAAGATTAACCGCTGCCCCATGCTTTAGACATGACTGATTTTCTCCAAGAAATCTTAATGGCTTGACGTTAAGGTGGTCTTTGAACACAAGCAAGGGCAGCTTAATTCCCATAGCATCCAGTATTTTACCCAAAAACGAAGCGTCGTGTGGCGGGTACACTCTCAACACGGTGATACTTATAGTCGTTGCGTCGATTGAGCGGCTGAGTAGAGAGGCCAATTTAAAGCAGGTATCGCTGTCCACCTTGATCTGGCAGCAGCTTTCGAAAGAGATGCTGACGTGTTCCATCATTTTAGAGCTGCTCAGCAGCAAGTGCCATAAAGCGCACACTCTATACGCAAAACACACATACTGTACACACTGGTACTGTACACTTATTAGTAATCTTCCTTATTTATTTTATCAATAAAAAATTTTATAACAATGAGCTTGCAGGTAGAAACTACTTCAAATGATTCAAAATTAAAAAAGTAAACAGACTGGCATGGCTGGCCCTCTTGGGGGCAAACAGCCACTGACGCACCCCAATGTTTCAGGAGCGAACATTTTGTCTTCAATATAATTTTATCAAGTATCTTCACTCAGTGCATTCTCTTTATTGTTGTATTAATACAATGAAAAACGTCATCAAAACCAATTCAGTAAACCGTTGTCTTCTTCGAATTTCACGCTTTCCGAAAAAAATACTGTAAAATATAGTATCAAAAAGAAAAAAAATTAAATTTCGTGAGACGGAAAGCGTCATCAGCAACACCAACCATTTGTCGGTGCCTTGGTTACTCTGTACTGTAGTCTGTAGTGGTTAGTAAAGGGAAACGACAGTTGCTGATGTTTGTTATTTCACCATGTACGAAACGTTTGACTCAGTTCTGACTCTTGAGTACTTCTTGAGGACAGCTTGTCTCTTACCGTTTGGCCTTCATTCGTGAATGCAAGTCCAAATGCAACAAAATATCGCTTAGTAGCGAAGGCGTCAAATCGCGGATGCAAACAGTCAACATCGGTGCACCAACTTCGATATCTAAGGAAAGAATTAAAGAAAACGGTTTGTAATCATAAATAACACTTCAGTAATGATCATATATGCAATAACTGTTGTCTTTTGACTCCACAAGCAACCTTATAGTTTTTTAGTGTTAGTTTCACTGCCCGTACACTGTATTGTACTTTGAACTTTTTCTGCAGGATAGTACCGGGTGGCTGAACAAAATTGCCTTCTCGGCTCATCATGGTATGCAGGATCCGGCCAATGCCTGATTAACATCATATTAGTTTCATTGGAAAGAACAAAGTTTGCAGCATAAAAAAGTGAAGTCAAGATGACGTTAAAGAAAAGTCTGACGGTTTTATAGACTAGGGTCGGGTTGGAAGCTGGCCCGGAAGCAAAAACCCGAGCAAACCCAATTCTAACTAAAAATTCGATCCTGTTATTGAACTAACGAAAATAATTTACTGTACGTCACATCGCTACTTCGGATAGAGGGTCGTTTCTGGTTTTGTTTGCTGTAAAGAGCTGCGATATTATAGTGATTAGTGACCGTGTTTGGTCAAGAAGCGGGGAACTGAGAGCCCGCATATTTGATTCTCGTGAAATCTGTAAGCAGACGTTTTGAAAGAAGTTTCCTCACCAATTCTTCATCATGTTATGTGGCTACAACTTGTTTCTATTTGGGCAAGGTTTCACTACATTTATCAGCCAAATAAGATAATTTTTGTTGCAGCCTGTCGTGCACCAGAAACTTCCAACGAAAATACCCAAAATACCGGATAGAAAGCCGCAATATTTTTCGAAAAGTCACGAAGTGTGCTGACTGTTTAATTCCCCAGCACGCTTCCATGCCAACAACTTTTTTCTGTTGAAGCATGAAGTCTTTCTCTAGAGAAAACAAAGAATTCGAATAATTCAAAAGGGAAAGAACTGCCACTCAGTTTTGTGTTTTGGAACCTGTTTTGGAACCTTTGACATGATTCTACTTATGACCTTTGAACACGGAGAAGGCCATTTTGTTCAGCCACCCGGTATCACAATAATTTGAACAACTGAAGTTGTATTATGACAGTCTTCTAACCGGCTTCACAAGGGGTATTTTCGCTTGCGCGAAATGTTCGCTTATCAATAGGCGGTAAATCTGCCCGACCGGCCAGATGAGTTTCCAAGATTTTCGACAAGGTCCCAATCATCGCATTCGTTGTTTCCGCGTCGGCTGCCAGTCCAGCGATGATAAACATGCATCCCCCCTGCTCAATGCGCAGGTGAAACCGGCACCAGTCACTCAGATATTCACGTGAGTGTAATTGCATTCGGGGTCGAAGAGCATCACTGGCATGTTTAACGATGCGAAATTTATCGGAAGGCTCACTCAGAACGGCTTTGGCTTGGCCAAAAGAAATGAAGTGCTTGAAATACATCAAACCACTGTGACGGTCCAGCATGGATGGTCCGCTGGGTGGGATCGCACTAGACACTTGGCCTTCGTGAACGATCTGAAGGCGGGCTTTATGCACAGGAACGTTGGTATTGGGCCCGTTGATTCTGATGTAAAACATGCAACAACCTGCGCCACAACCCTCAATTTTATTCAGCATCACGGCTGGTCGGAAGCGGAAGGGTCCATTATCTTCATCACGCAGTGCCGCATATATCTTAACATTTTGGTAACCTTCTGTGTCATAAACGTCTGTGTCCCAGTACGATGGCAGAGGCCAGAGATCTCTCATGTGTATCCAATGAGCTTCCACTATTTCGGAGTCAAAGTGGATAAAGGCATATTCGCCGTCGATATCCGTAATGTATCCCAACCACCAAGTGTCGCTACTGCTACGCACGACAACAGTGTTGTGATAGCTCATCTGGTGGGCATCCGCCAACAGGGGCTGATAATGCGGTATCGTTTCCAGTGCATAATGAAAGGTCTAAAACAGAGCAGCATGTTGCTAACTAGATAGATACAGAAAAATTTGTTCATCTTTTCTTCTCGGAAACGGTGGTTGGGAAGTTTCACTGATGTTTAGACGATAAAATGCTGATTGGATTCATATCACAAAGATCATTCCAAAAGTTTTTTCCCCATTTTGCCTGCGTACCATTTCAAGTTATTCACAAACGATACTTTTTGGTGCCTAACTTACTGTAATTCCTAAGCTACACCCCGTTCACGCCAAGTTGGCGGTGTCCGTTTAAAAAATTCCCATGAACCACTAGACAATATATTGCTTTTTTTAACTTTTATGTGATAGCTGAATTTATCGAACACCATTGCAACTGCGGTTTTCAAGATTTGAGCTTGTCATGAATTAGAGGAATTTTAAAATTAGAGCAGACCACTTTCAAAATGCGCTGCAGAACAGGTATTGTGGCTTTGCTCCGCAAACATAAAATTCATTTTAAATTCCCTTTTATGACGTAGTCCAAAGACGCCAATTCTGTTGACTTGGCCATCCAATGGCCCTTTGTGGTGCACTGTACACCATTCACTTGAAGCGCCTCCTGGGTCAGGGCACCGGTGTAACGGTGGGCGTGGCCAAGCTGTCAGACGACATCCTTCGCGAGGTCACCACGCAGCCGAGGGTAGCGCCAAGTTGAAGACAGCGCAATTAAAACTGATCTGATTATTTCTCTGTAGTTTGCTGTCATACTGCCACTTGCAAAGTTGTAGCGAAATTCATTTCCAGTGTAATAAAATTTAGTTTTCGTTGAAATGTTGAGAAATGCCTCGAGAAACTGATTCTGAAAGTAAGGCTGTAGTAGTTTCAACTGCCGGTGAAAAACTGGCCAGACAAAAAATCCGTTAGTCGGTGATACATTGGGCATCCTAACCGGCTACCGATCACTTCAGCCGTTTTCATTTCGGCCGCGTTCATTTCGGCTAGAGTATTTCGCGGCCGTAATTCACTTCGGCCGTCATTCATTCCGGCCGCCGATCACTTCGGCCACAGTAAATTTCGCCCGATGCTAATTTTTGTTTGACTTACAAGAAAATCAATCAAATCAATCAGCGCATTTTGAAGTTACAATCAAAAATCAATCAATCAATCAAGAAAAATCTAACAAAGGAATCAAAAGAGAAAAACGAGAAAAAAAAAGTAAACACAAGAACATAAGAAAACATGATAAAATGTAGGAACACGAAACAAACTTGAAAAAGCTTAAAAAACCAAACATAAGAATACAAGAGGGGAAATAATAAAATATAACAAAACGCAAGAAAATATAAGAAAACTTAACAAACACAAGAAAACAGAAGAAAGAGGTGAGAAAACATAAGGAAACTCGAAAATCTGGAGAAAAAAACGAAGATGGCCGAAATGTCCAGTTGCCGAAATGAGCAATGTCCGAATTTAGTGCTGGGGAAAGATAAAAATTGGGAGAAAAATTTGTGGGAAGCCGTTTTTGCAAGTACATAGTAGTACTAGAGCAGTATTCCATTGAATCACTGAAATCGATGGACCGCTGGACAACGCCGTCGCGCTTGTACGCACTGCCAAATCGTGGTAGGAGACCGGGTTGCGAGCACGTCCATCATTGGTAGTTTGTTCCCGGTACAAAGGTACGAGAACTAGTACATCAGCGCGATACGACAAAATAATTAAGACTGGATCGAAAATTAAGGTTGAATCTAATTATATGAAATTTTTCTGAGGACAAAGGCGGTGACCGTGCCCTGGTTAATAACCAGGGCACGGTTACCGCCTTTGTCCTCAGAAAAATTTCAATTTTGTTTGGAGAAAGAATAGATATGGGAAGCGTTTGGAAAAATTATTTCATCGGCAGTGGTCCCGTGGGCGTGGCAAATCACGAATTTAAGTAAAAATAAATTACCGATGGTTGGAAAATGGAATGCAAGAAATAGATAGCTCTTAATGGTGATTTAATTGTGCTGCCAGTTTTTAATACATACAGATACGCACGTTTTCAAATTCAAATACATTCTACGCTTCATTCGTATTTACCTATCAGGCTTACGAGCCTGCGCGTGGTGTTCCGTCAACTTCCGCCCACATATGGCGTACTCGCACTCACCCACATCACTACATGCCGTATTCGCCTGTCTCATGTATGTACTTGTGCTGCTGCACTGCACTCATCCGCTGAAGCGGATATACCGCAGTGCGCCACACTGAGCATACTTGCTCTCTCGTCCCTCTATCGCCGTATGATTCAGCGTCCATACGCTCGCGTTGGATAGAGTCCAGTCTGCGCAGCATCACACAGCTGATGCGTATGGCCTGCATCTAGAGATGTCAACGGTTCGACCGGTTCGGTTCGGTTCGACAAGCGACTCAACTTAACTTCCAAGTCGCTCAGTTGTAATCGGTTACAAGTGCAAGTCACTTCAATCGGTTCGGTTGTAACGGTTAGTCGAACCGAACCGAACCGAACCGACTTTAACCAAAAATTTTTAGTGGCTACGTTAAAGTTGCAAAACTACAATTTAGCGGGTTTAGAATCGCGTTTTTTTGGCCTTCAAAACATTGTTGAGCGTTTCGGAAGAGATTTCAGCGAAAATTTCGAGTTTTTGACTCGCTTTAGAGCAAAATTTTCAAGTTTTACTTGATATTTAGGCGAAAACGCGCTTGTAAAATTTAAAACTCCGTAACCGGTCGAAGTCGCGGTTAACCGGTTATTTTCGGTTCGACTCGCGCCCTAACCGACTCAATCAGTTCGGTTAACCGAAAAACTGCGACTCGAAAAACGAGGAACCGAACCGAACCGGTTTAACCGCGGTTGCAAACGGTTCGGTTCGGTTTTTCACATCTCTACGGCTGCATCACGCACGTGCTTGCCGCGGCAATGCCGCCAGCATTCTTTCACGCCTTGACAGACGCTCAAGAACCTCAGCAACACGTTTATAGATTGGGCCACACTGGCATCATTTGTCTTTCTTCCTGCTATTACGCACTATTGTCAGCCTTTATGTTAATAAATACTTTCGTGAGCTCCCTGCGCTTGCCAGTTAAAATGAAAATATTTTAAATAAGTTTATTAACAGTTTATTAAAACAAGCTACTGATACCGTAATCGTAGTCGCAGCTGAGTTCACGGCTAAACCGTTGATTTTATTCTAATCAATTGGTGTTGACATTTTCCCATTCGGTGGTCCACGGTCAAAAAGAGGAAGGGATAATTAAAGAAAGGAATATTATTGGGTCAAAAAGAGGAAGGAATAATTAAAAGAGGAAATATTTTTTGGTTAAAAAGAGGTAGGAAGTTTCGATGATCAAAAAATGAAGGAAATTTTCGCGGTCAAAAAGGCAAGAGATTTCGATAGTGAAAAATAAAAAGAAAATGCGCAAAGAAAATTTTTAAAAATCTTCGGGAATTACGCTTTGTAACAGACTCTGGCGAGGAGATCACGAGTGTGCTTTATTGACAAATAAAGGGAACAATGCTGCGTAATAGCAGAATGCAAGAACATAGCACGTCTGGCTAAAATAGCAAGTGGTTGCTAAAAGGGTTCTTGAGCGTCTGATGGCGTGAAAGGAATTCTGGCGGCAACCACGTGCGGCCTGGCCAGACAGGCGTTTCGTTGGACCGGTGACGCATCTGTTGGCTGGCTTCTTGCTTCTGTTGGCATCGGAGAACAATGTAAAAAGAAATGTTCCGGAGGGATTGGGTGTGCCGCCGGCGCAGTTTGTTGTGGGACCGGGGCCGGTGGCAGGTTAGGGTATGGCATCCGACCTTGTTGGTCTTCGTATGCCCCCTGCTGATAAGCCGGTTCATATTGGCCATCATATCCGTCCTGTTGCGGATGCGGTGCCTGAGCCTAGTTTGCGTAACGAGGCTGTACCGGCTGGTCCCCATTCGGTTGTGGAGGAGGCGCTCGATTTTGTCTCGGCGCCTGCGGATAGAATCCTCTCGGTTGATCAGGAACTCTTCCATACAAGTTAGGCTGTGTTTACCGGGCAGGCATCCGGCCTTGTGTAGATCGGTTTCGAGGCATCCGACCTTGTTGGTCGGAGTTATCCTCCGGATATCGAGTCGACCGTTCCTCGTTATATCCTTCCTGCCGATGGTCGGTCGTATTATACGACCGAGTCCGTGCTCGTTCAAAGTCGAACGGCGAGTTTTGGCGGAGTAAGTTACCCATATTCGGGTTTGAGTTCGTCCTTGGTGGGCGATATGCTTCCGCTCCAGGTCTCGGTCTTGGCACTGGGAGATGTTCGGCATTTGTTGTCCGATCTCCTCTCACATTGGGTACCGGCGCATGCGTTGTTGCATGCGTCGAGTACGAGGTGCTGGTATAAGCACCAGCTGACGTTGTTGTCGCCACGTTCGACGTTTGCACATGTGGTGCCGCAGTCGACGTATTGCGTTTCGATTCCGGAGCACTCGGTATGGTCGGTGGTTGTGGAATTGTTCCAACGCTCGGGTCGTTGTTACGACTCCGACGAAGTAGGTCTTGTTCTCCTTCTTCTCCATTTGCTGGGTCGGGTTAATGCCCCACAGGATGTCACTTATGGTTCGTGACGGATGTTGATCCTGCGCCATGGACGTTCGGTATGAGGGAGGTTCGGCCCGGCTCTGTTCCAAGTGCTTCTTCTCCTCCCTCAAACACCGTGCTTCAGTGTCCATTTCATCCATCTGCCGCATCATCTCTGTGATGTTGCGGGCAGCTTGTTCACCCACCGAAGTCGTATAGTTCGGATTCGCGGGCCTCCAGGTAGACGATGCGACTTCGTTGCGCCTCGTTCACCTTTTGAGCGTCAGCCAAGCTGTATTCCAGATGGGCTCGGAGTTTCTGTTCCTCCTTAAGGACTTTATTCAGTCCATGGACTTGCTCGGCCAGTTGAGCGTTCGCTTCTACCAGGTCGGCATCGGCTGCCCCGTGGTTGGGAGAGCTCGACTGCCGACTATGATGGTCGATGAATCGTTGCCCCGTTCTGACCAGGAGGAGTTCCATCTCCCACTGCAG